GCTTGACATAAATAAATCCGGACGTGGAGAAAATCTCAGATGAGAAAACGGAGATAAGGGGAAGAAGAGAAGTACCAAAAGGAGCAAGACAATCCAATCGGACAAGTTCGCAAAAGGTGACGAGCGATCATAGCTTTCAAGGAGGACCCAAGACAATGGAAATCAATGACAACAATACGAGAAGATACACTACAGCAATAGTTCCAATGACAAATTCAAATATAATTAAACAACATCAATCAGTAGTGCTAAATACAACACAATGCAAAACAACTATACAACACAATTTAAATACAATTATTCAACGAAGCAACAGAAGAACTTCAATCAAAATCAGATGCATTGGAAGTGTAAATAGCTAGCAATTGAGGATCTAAGTGAAAAAGTTGTCGTCTCCTCCCATGAAGGTGTGAGTCTTTAACTTTCTCGTTTCACCCGTTTAAATACTCTCGTTCACCTACTTAATTTGCATCCTGGCGAGGAAATGCGAGGGGAGATAAGAGAATTCGAAAAAGATACCAAAGTTAAAATAACTAGTTAGTGAACTAAGAGGAATCTTACACTATTTTTTAACCAAGCAATAACTCATAGAGTAAATAACGAACACTGATCCTGTATGCAGTATATAATTGTTTTCCATCAATGAATGTAGGGAATATATTCCAGATATTATGGGTCAACCTACATGTTGCACAAACATCTAGGTTAATTTAATAACCTTCTATAAATATGCTATGAAAGCAGTTCAACAAAAAAGTAATATGCATTGTGAGATCTAGTATGTTTTGCTATCATGAAATGGTAACTAGATCTACTTGAGGTTGTACCTTGCAAATTCTCGCACGGGCATGAAGGACCCTTTTATTCATCACAAACTAATAAACTCAAACGTTCTCACAACCAAAATACCGTCCACTTGCGGTACAAACTTAAACGATAACGTAATAATAAATTTAAAGGGCAAAGCTATATTGCTGGACTACACGATTCAATTTAATCTAACAGGCTAACTCAGCAACCTACACTGACGATATACTAACTAAACGGTCAGAAAGCGTAGTCGCTAATAAGATTTACAGCTGGAGGACAAAGTAGCAAACGTGAGTTTCAGTAGCGAAATCACGTTCTGTCTAACCTTTTCGTTCTAACAATTTAAATACTCTCTCATTCACCTACTTTATTTACATTCTGGCAAGAAAATGCGAGGGAAAATCAGAGAATTCAGAAAAGCTCGTAAATTAAAATAACTATTAATAAAAATTAATAGGACCCTACAACATTTATGATTAACAACAGAGGTAATTTTACTTGATCTAGAAAGAAATTAAATGTCTAAAAAGTATTTGAAGTTCGTATAATTTGAATTCTACTGTACGAAATATTGAACGCATTTTAGAATTTTAGGCTGCTATAAGTGATTTGTCAATTTCGGAATATTGCATTTTTTAAAGTATTACATTTACAAGAATTATTAATGTAGGGAAAGAATCATAAACTCACCAAGTTTACCGCTCTCACTGCTTGCGGCCTAGTGATACCTGAACACTGGTAGTTCGACCTGGATTCGATTGCAGGAGGGCGGGCTGGCTGCATGGACGTTTTCGTAGTTTTTTTCTATGTGTAACGTTGATACGAGCCAGTTCAACGAGTCTTCCTCGAAATAATCCTCAAACCAAACCAAAACCTCAAATATTCTACAGTGAAAATGGTATGCGGTCACAGGCACACGTTCAAGTGTAATCGAATTCTGTCCAGTTGCAGAAATATTTATATGCAATAAGAGCTAATACTTTGGCGATCAGGTCTTAGATAAACGAAAACTTCAGCTCTATGTATATATTAAAGTTCTTTTTTATGTATAATGAGCAAATTCAGAGTGAAATTTTACAAAATGCAACAATCATCTTGAATTTTAGCGGTAGAAACTTAATAACTATGTCTTAAAAATCATGCCATAACTTTTGTTCGTGCCTGGATCCGCCATTACTCTTGCCTCAGTCAATAAACTGAGATTTCATTTATATTTAAAAGAAATCAACTAATTTCACAAATTACCTTAAACGTTTTAAAATAACGACCCAGCAAAGAAGTAGAGGTGGTGTAATTATTTTCATGGGTCTCAGGCACTTAATGTTTATAATAAGGTGAAAAGAATTTGAAGTTAAACGAAGAAGTATTCTTTTTGTAGTTTTTTCTAGTGGATATAATTACTTATTTAATTGCACTTTTTCTTTAATCGGCATCTGTATATTCCATTTGAACTAATTTGAATTCAGCATCTTAAACTGAAGCGAATTCTGCAGCTTAAAATGAGAAACATGAAAAGCCACTCTCTCACGAGGATTCCAAGCAGCTCTGGTTGCTAATGAATGAATACTTCATTGTAAATGTACCGCTTTTGGCTTCCGAGCTATCTCAGGATAATCTGAAATGCAACACCATTAATAAGCCGCTGAACACTGGTAGTTCGGTCCGGGATTCGAGTCCGGGCTGGCTGAATGGGCGTTTTCGTGGTTTTCCCCATGTGTAACGTGGATACGAGTCAGTTTCCCTTAAAAAGACCTCCACGGGGCATCCGTCCCTTTCCGTGTAGTGCCTGTGGGAGAAGCACGTAATAAACAAAGCAAACAACATTAATAACCCTTACACGAGAATGCACGTAACATTTATTTTCTAAAAATGCATACATTTTGAACTAAGTATGTTTCTTCAGTGATTGCTTTGTTGCCCCCCCCCAGTGCCTAGATACTTACCCCTCAAGCATTCATCAGGAATGGTCAAACCTGTCATTTAGACGTCTCATCACCAAAAACGTTGTTCATGGTGCACTGGAAAGGTTAGACCGATATTACACCCGCGAAAAAGGGGAAAAAGACAACCGCAAAATTTATGCCTTCTCCGGTCTCAAACCAAGGCTATAGCAACCGCCTTCCTTTCTACGATTTATAAGAGGGGTTAAAGAACACTTTGCTGAAAATACACCTTCTACTAGATTATGCGAAAGGAAAAACATATTGTAGAGAGAAATATTTTCAATTGAAAGAAGCAAATTATTCGTGAGACAAAGATTGTTCAAGAAATTCCATTTGTAAAATTAAGCGAGGAAAAAATTACAATAAAAATCATTTGCTATTTATCTGTCAAAGAATTTTTTATAACACGCACGTGAGTGCCTTTATTTTGAAAACTACGTCACAACAACACTGCATGAACGGCGTTTGGTTTGTGTTTATTAACGTTTCGCTCAAGTAAGTTGCCAAACTCGCAAGTATTTATTTCTCCTCGGAGAACCCATTAGTGGCCAGGTGATGAAGACCGTTAAACACTAGTAGTTTGACTCGGGTTTAAATCCCGATAAAAAGAATGGTTGCATGAATGTTTCCTCGGACTTTTCCACGTGTAAGGCGAATGCAAGCCATTTCCCTTTAGTAAGTTCTTCATGAAGACATCCCATTCTTTAGGCAGATAGCCTTCGTGTTTTACCATAATCAAAATAATTCAATCGAAGCCAGTTCTTCCATTCTGTGTTAGAGAACACGTATTCATTTTTTTCCCACCTACATTTTTATCTGAAGCTAATGAGAATGTAGAGAATTTCCGAATGGTCCGACTGAAAATCATAAATCGCATTTAATACTGTGAAAATAGTCTATTTAATCAGTACGCAACGCATAACTGTTGCTTGAATGAGAACGTAAATTTATAACTTATATATGAAGGAAAGCATACATCTGGATTACGTATGAAATAAGTTTAAGTAACAGATTATCTTCTGCTAAAAATATTCATTTCGGTTACAAAAATCTGCAAGGGCAACAATACTGTAGAGTATATTTGAAAAAACTATTTGAAAATTTCTAAAATTAACGAATATGGGAGAATTTAATATTAAATTCTCCCATATTCATTAGTTTTAGAAATTTATCTTAATTATGGGAGAATTTATTTAGCATCTACATCCTCTTTTGTGACCAGTGCAATCACAGATAAAGAAGAAATCCTAAATTATATGTAAATTGGATAAAGAAACCCGATATTACTACCTATATCTTAGTCTTCTCCCATTGGACAATATGTCTAAATTTATAGACGTCAAGCAAGAAATTCCCACTGAAATTTTCATTGATAAAATATTTATTTGTAGCTGTCTAGAGAGCATAATCTTCTTAAATTTCAACTTGTCCCAGCTAAAACGCTTCCTTATTTCAGGAAGTATTTTTTCGACGGCCGGATGAAAAATTTCTTAACGAGGTTGTCTCTATTTTTAGTAAAATAAAATAACTCAATACATATTTTTCGTATTTCGAATTATCAAAAGCTCATTTTCTGAACTACTCTGTAAGGTGTAGTGACTGCATATTCTACCATGCCAAAGTGATGTTATATCACGTTAAAAAGTTTTGTTTCTAATGTTATAATAAGAAGATTTTAAGAATTGGAACAGATCTGCAGATATTGATACTCGAAAAAGTCTCACGGAAGTTGCAGTAAAAATGTGAGAAATAAAAAGGTTTTTTATCCCGTGCTATTTATTCGTTTAGCAATAGCAGAATACGAAAGAATTTCACTTATTCTTGAAACGTAAACAGGGCAAGGGTGAAAGGTAACAAATATAAAAGAGCAAATGAGGCTTGAAAGTGCACTTTTGAATTCATCAATGACAGCTTAGAAGTTCCCTTCGCAGGTTACGAACAGGTCACAGTATTTTGTTTGTTTCTATTTTTTTCCCCTCTCCCCCTTCTTTTTTTTTTTTTTTTTTCCTTCTTTTTTACGTTTAAGTTTCGCCTTGTGGAAGTTTAAACGGGAAATGCATCTGGGGGGGGGGAATCGTAGGCCGCTTAGCAGTGAACGAACCCATCTCCACAAGAAACAGGTCTCATATCCCATTCATCAACTGATGAATCCGTAACTGTGCGTACGGTACTGCGCATCAACGACGTATACGCTGTTTTACATAATGCAGAGTAGGAGAGCGCCGGATGTAGTATAAAGAAGGTAGCGAGTGGCTTATGATTTCGAGTTTTCTCTTCTTTCGGGATTGCTTACGCTGGATTTCGTGCATCGTATCGATGGCATTGCTTCAGGGTGTCATCTTGGCTTTGGCTGTTTCGGCGACTTTTTCGTATGCTGATCATGACTTGAATGATGGGTCACGTAAGTAGTTTTATTTTTATTGCTTATTTAAGAGCTTAATGCTATCGTCTGCGAAATTATTTCCGCTGAAGTTTTACGTTTCGGATTGAATTCTTGTTTTTAAGTTCCGTTACGCTTTTTCGTGTTTTCATTATCTTGAAGTGGGAAAATTGTTTATAACTTTAATGTCGGTTTTGGTAATTATAATCGCCTTGTTTAAATAACTACGTTCTAATAAACTTACGGAAATTCTTTTCTTTGTAAACGCTGAAAATTAAATTTTAACAGAAAAGGATTATGTGCAAACTTGAACTGAATTAGGCTACGGATCTTTCTCGTCTCGGTAACTCGGGAAAGGAGAACTGATGTTAATATTGACTTCTAATAAAACTCTTTACAAATTAAATGCGTGTTGTAACTATAGGTAATATCTATCTTAAAAGTTTTCCAACTGTTCTTTCACTATTTTCGTATAAACCATGAACGTTGCAGTTAATAAAATTAATCAACATAACTGAAGTTTCATTTAAGGTTGTATCTAACTGACGTATTGTGTTAAACTTAAAATGTTTAAATTCGAAAGCCGTAATCGCACTTTTTTCTTAAAACTGTAATTGATATTTCTGCGACTGGATATGCTTGTAGCTTCGCGTGCATGAAACTATTCGATATGAAATCCTCGAAAGTAATTAGTGTTATCATTTTCAGATAACCAGTGTCCAGGGAAGTGCATTAAGGAAAGCGAAAACTGTAACTCGGCTCTCAACGAAACTGACTGCCTTCAAGGGTTTAAATGCTGTCTTGATCATCTACGAAGTGTAACTGAGGATCCCTATTGGGCAGCCTCCGATAGTAATTCTCCTGCGTATTCCCAAGAATCTGTAGATTCTCAGGGTTATGCATATCCAGGTGATGTCGTTGCTAGCTCTCGTTACGGATATGGATACACTGATGAACCAGATCAATCTGTTGAAACGAAAGAGACCGACAGCACTCTAGATTCAATCTGTCCTGGAAACTGCTTGCCTAATGAACAGGCCCAGTATTGCGAATACATTATTATGGCCGATGGTATGTGCGAGCCTGGAATAACCACGTGCTGCGTTAGTGCAACCGATGCAGAGACTCTCCGCGACCGCGATGATTATGTAGTGACAGAGGAACAAGACTCCTTTTCTCGACGTTCTCTTGGAACTCCAGCTTTAAAAGACGCCTGTCCCGGTACTTGCATACACGAGACCCATGCTATGCGTTGCCAAGAAGCCTTGCCACAGTATGCTTGCCCCCGAAACACTCTATGCTGTGTAACAATAGGATCTGGAATATTGCCCGTTCAGTGTACGGGCCAATGCTTATCCTTAAACATGCATAGCTACTGTTTCCCGCCAGATGAACTCATCACGGGTCCAACGTCTTGTGCGCGAGGTACAACGTGTTGTATGCGTAGGATTTCAAATGCCGCAATGCCGCCGCCTCTTTCCAACAGAGTAAAACCTACGTCACCACCTGTTGTTCTAGGTCACCTTGCTGTTGATGATGCTGGTAATATATTTAAAGTCTCGCCAAACGGACAAATATCTCCTCTTCCTCGCCTCGTACCACGGGATCACAATCGTCGCTTTTATACTGAAGTAACAGCTTTCCCACGTGTTGACGGAAAACTCGTAATTTATTCCGATAGTGATGGTAAACTTTATCAGCAGTTTTATCAGCATGAAACACCTGAACTGCTTAGAAACCGTGAAACCTTACAACAGCCGCCAATGCTTAGGAAGCCTATAAATCAATTTGTTTCTCAAGTTTCTGAGCATGCATCTAAATTCGAAGTCTCCCCTGACAGTGCCGGTAATGAGGAAGACTTATCTGCAAGTGAGGAAACTGAAGAAATCGTCATACCTGATGACGATGATGAAGTACCCGTTCCAGCAGCAAGCCCTCCTATGTCTCCCGAAGATCATAAACTAGCTGCACCTCCATGCCCTGGCTCGTGCATGTCCTACTTCCTTCGATTTACATGTTTCAGAGGACATGCTATTTACGATGGTTTCGTTTGTCCTGGACGTTTAGTGTGCTGTGCACGTTTGAAAGATATAGAAGATCACGAAGAATACCTGAAATCGTTGTCTCCTTACTTTAATGCTCCGCGTAAGTGAACTTTCAATTTTTTTTAAAGTGCGCAGATCTAGTGCATTCAATTTACTTCCATGTCTTGCTTTCTAGCGGCTTCGAGAGATCCGAAACTCCCACGTTGTGGAATAAAAGGAAAGCGAGACACTCCTCGAATAATGGGAGGAAAAGAAGCTTTAACCGGAGAGTGGTGTTGGCAGGTAGGAATCCTGAACTAGGTTTTTCTCTTAAAATACGAGAGCATATTTTAATTCTATTTTCCTGTTTTTAGGTAGCCATTGTTAATGCGCAAAACCAGTATGTCTGCGGCGGTGCTCTTATTGATAATTCTTGGGTCTTGACTGCAGCTCATTGCGTTGCTGGGTAAGTTTTTAGCATTGCTTGCATGCTTAACGAAACTTTTTTTTTCAAGCCGTTATTTAACAAGCTAGAAGTGGCATAGTATTGTCTTTAAACTATTCTGCGGCAATGCATTTGTCCGCGCTTAAGCTTTCAGTTTTAATTGCATTAGTTCTTTAAAAGAACTTATTCTTCTACTTAAGCATCATTTGATGTATTAGTGTGCACTTTTTAACAGAAAAAGCGAAAGAATTATGAATTTCTCTCTTAAAAACAGTGTTTGCAATTTTTACAGCCCTACTATCGAACATCAACCGTTGTTTGTACGAGCTGGCGTCACAGACTTGAAAAGCCCCGAAGATAATAGTCGAGGTCAAACTATAAGAGTACTGTCTGCGTTTAATCATCATAGCTTCAATATCATGAATTTGGATAATGATATTGCACTTCTCCGTCTTCAGAAGCCACTAGAGCTCAACGATAATGTATGCGTTATATGTCTACCAACAAGTGGGGAAATGCCAAAGGAAAGTACCAAATGCACTGTGACTGGGTATGGTTTTGTATCCAAAGGTAATGTCTATAAATTTAATTTACTGATAAAATTCTTAACTCCTCAGTATTTATGTGAACATGCAACTCTCAATTCTAACAATTTGAGAAATATTGTTAACGGAACGACTGAAATGTTGATGATGCTTATTTTTAATATTTTTCCTGTGAAAGAAACTTGCTTTCCTGAAGCTTAAAGTGTGCTCTTGGGTATTTTCTTATGTTTTTCCGAAAGAGTCTTTTGACCTCTATTTAAACTAATGTTCTGCAAAACTAATCTGTAGACCCTCTATTTTCATTTCACAGAATCTCTAACACTTCATGCAATTGTAAACAAGGTCTTAAACTCTATTATTCCTTAGATGGAGACATGTCTCTCAAGATTCGAGAAGCCAAGGTTCCTATTATTGACGATTTGGAATGCATGACTAACGTTACGGAAGCTCTGGCTAATCCTTTCATTCTCCCGGCAAGCAGTTTCTGTGCAGGGGGCCAGGGTCAGCAAGATGCATGCCAGGTAAGCTACGCAAAGTTTTTAACTTCTAGCTAATTCTCTTCTATATTATTTGATTTCTATTTCTTACTCTAGTTTAGTTTTCCAAATTGAGAGCAAACAATCTTGTCTTAATATTCCCTTCAATGATCTTTCTGCGGTTATCCACCTTTGTAAATAAATTCCTTTTAGCTTAACTTCGTGAAACTTAAATCCTTCTAACTGCGAATTTTACAACTATTGGATAAGGTTTTAAGAATTTTGCAATAGTAACTTTCAAATGGAATGAGTAACTGTTGATTCGCGTGAAACGTCGTATGTAGACATCCTCTTTACAGGGTTTCTAAGAATGACTAGTATCCAAAATCCTAATTTTTTTCAATCTCCACAGGGGGATGCCGGTGGTCCGCTTGCTTGTAAAATTGGTGGTTACCACGAGCTGGTAGGATTGGTATCCTGGGGACTTGGATGTGGCAGAAGTGATGTACCAAGTATTTACGTAAAAGTTCCTTCTTTCATGGGATGGATCAATCAAATAATCAGTTCCAGTTCATTCTTAATGTCCCTGAACCAAGTTTAAGTCTGACTCTGATCTTTGTATCTGGTATGACGTATTAATAAAATGATGTTGTATTTAATATTAGTTTTTATTCTTACCACTTCACCTATAAAGAACCTTAAAATTGCATTAGATAACTTCCGTAAAGTGGAAATTTAACCAATTTGACTTACATTTTATTTGAGTAACTATTGAGCAAGATTCTAATTTTTAACTTGTTTCAATGCATGTAGCAATTGTAAAAATGTTGCCTTAACTTTCAGCATAAAGTTAAACTTTAATCATACGTTTAAGAAAGTTTTGATTTTTGAGAATCTGTAAGACTTCTGTTTCAATGCATTTAGTTTTAATTAAGTTAATTTCTTAAAATGATGGTTCCTATTAAAATCAGTAGCTACTGAATCCTAATCTCCTACAAGATGCTTTAATAAAATGGCGAGCTTGTATGGTTCTTTAGCGTATATTTTTACTGAAAGTTCTACTTTGTATTCTTTTTCAATAAGTGATTTCGTATGAAAATACTGGCGCGAGTTAAGCCATATTTAATCTGCACCAGGAAAAACTATTTCTGAAAAGATACTTGTTATCCTAAGGAGGTAACGCTTAGACTCTTAACGCTACTAATTTGGTCTTACTGAAGTGTATCCTGCTGCAATATTGCACATCTCGAAAGTTCCCTAGACTTTGTTTTCCTTTAGGTTTTATGTTGAAAGAAAAGCAAATCAATATCGAAAGGTTTACTTGAATTTTACGGAAACTATTCTCCCAATAGTATGGTCATCTACACTGACCTTTTAAGTCTACGACATTTTACCGTCGTGTGTTTTGCAATATTCAGGTAACTTAACCCTATTTTCCTAACTTTTGGGTTACAATAGTTATGGGTTGAGGAAATTCTGCCTTATTTCCAGTCTCCATTTTATAGAATAAGTGAAATACTACTGGCAACCTGAAAATTTCAGTAATTTCTCACAGAATAACTTGCCAAAGTTTCTGAAATAACATGTCGGAAAATCTAGCATCGGGATAACAGCTTAAGTTAATCGTTGCAAAAAGTCGTCTCTCTTTACAGCTTGGATTTGAGACTTAATCTCAATGTTTGAATGAAGTGGTCACTAGGTGTGTTCTTCGTGAAAAGTTGTTCTCCTAAATTCAGTCTTTCTTCTGGAAAAGACGTTCAGTATACATTAAATGTACGTTCGTAATGTGTATAATTGTATTTTCATGTGGTGTATATCCGTTAGCCTGTGAATAAGCCTTTACGAACGAAATTGAAGGGTTTTCTACGCTTCTTGAAGGTTTCGAGTAGTCTGCAAAATTTGTAACAAACTCAATAACTTGAGCATTCTCACTCTTATATTTAAAAAAACTGCCTGTAATTTTCATTCGATCGTGAATTCCAACCTTTTGTTTCCAGGGTTTTTTAATTGGAGATAAAGGGTTCTATAGGGCTGCCTACATAATGAAACTTTCGGCTATTGTGTACTTAAAAGTCCTACTTACTCCAGAATTACGTTGTTAAATGTAGTTTTAATGAACCTTGTGAAATTTGCCTCGCGCTGTTTCATCCTTAACTGCTAGCGCTTTCGTGTAAGTGTTTGCGCAATTACCGGGTAACCTTTCAGGTTTTTAACTTTCGCAGAAATGTCGCACTCCCATAATTGTTCAGAAAAACCTTTTCATAAATTTTTAACGCAAGCATATTTAAAGAATAAATACGCATTTAAGTGGTAGGAAGAAAGACTTTTTACAAGAAATTAGACTTCAGGAACTAAAATTCATGATCTTGGCAGTAGACTTCTGCCTTAGCTGAAAAAATTTGCAGCGTCATCTTTCTAGCGCTTAGGTCCACATGAATGGATATTTTGTGGAATTGAGCAAATCCATTTCACTTCTGTCCCCTCGTAACAAATGGGTGACAATTAAACCTAGAATATTTCAAAATATTTCTTCCATTCCGATGATAGTAGTACTATTTACCTCTTTCGGAGAAAATTAAGTGCGCTTGTCAACTCGTCGAAGATGCTTTTGATACAAGTGTTGTGTCTAAAGTTTTAAATATACACTCCAAATAGAATATTTTCCATGCGTTAAGATTAATCATAAATGTGTCATCGATGTTTTGACGTTCGTAATTGCAAGCGTTTAAGATGGTTTGCTTTTATTCTGATTTAAAAATTTTTAGCATTTGAAGTCTATATTTCTTCAATATTAACTGACATTAGTCGCCAAAATAAGTACACTTCTGCTACACAGAATTAAATAGGGCAATACGGGGATTAAGATCTGCGGTCAAATCCTCACTAAGGATTAGGGTTTCTCCATGTGACATAGACACATTTCCCTTGAACTACTCGCTCACCAGCGGCCGAACGGTGAAGTCGCTGAACGCTCGTAGTTCGGTTCGAAGTTCGAACCCCGCAAACGGGCTGGCTGCATGGGCATTTTTGTGGTTTTCCCCATGTGTAACGTGAATACGAACAAATTTCCCTTAGAACTTCCTCCACAATGTCATCCCTCCCCTTAGGCAGATAACCCTCGAGGCTTTGCTGTAATCACACAAACCAAACCAGACTCATAAAATACTCCGCGAAAGTAGCCTATCCAAAATCCCTTAAGCAGCCTTCACGGGATTTTCCTTAGCCCTTTAACTTAAAGCCCGTTATTCAATATATTCGTGATACCATTTTTGATCGCGTAGGAAGTTTAGTAGTTAGCTACAGAATAATAGCTCATAATATCTAAATTATTGTGCCAGTGGCTTGTTTTACGATTATATTCAAATTTGTTTTCTTTCTTGCGCTTCTGTGCATTACAAATGGAAACTAATATTCAGTGCATTTTTCTACTAGACGTTTAGATATGTTACCTTTCTGTCGGTAAAGAAAATCTGTTGCGTAAATTTCTAAGTCGCTTTGCGGAAAGGCCCCTAAAACAGTAGTGAACGGGTTCACATCTTTTCAATTGCATAGACTGCGTGGGAGGTTTCATGGCTTTCTCCATATGTATCGTGCATCTGAGCCAGTGTCCTTTTTAGTCTTCCACAAAGGCATCCCTTCGCTTAGGCAGTCTTTGCCTGCCTAGTCATAATGGAAATTATCCCAATCTAATTCACTTTAAGGTAAACAAGTATAATTTATATATGTATTCTCTTTAAAAGCTGCTCATGAGTTGTTTTTACTTAATAGAAATACAATATTTCCAAAAATTGAATTTTCGGAGGTCGGTCAGATTTTTGAGAACTTAGGTGGGGAAAAACTGAACTGAGAAATTCAATACAAGAACAGTTTATCTGATGGAATGTTGGTTTCATACTTGCACTTTCTGAGTAAATTGGATCTTTCTTGACCCCACATCTTTAACCAGACTTTCATGAAAGTATACTGGTGAAATAAATTCAATGACATAACACTACCTCTCATTTCAGTCACCGCAAAACATGTATAATGGAAACTTAAGGTTCTTGTTCTTTCTAATGCAAATCTTTTACACCTTGGAGAGATTAAAAGTAATTATTTTTTTAAATAAATGTAAAGACTTCTCTACAAAATGGGTGTTGGGCAAAATGTAAAATCTTTGCATGTAAGTAAATGCACATAAAAACTTCTTCACAAAATTGGTATGCAAGATATCGGAGATCATCTTGGTAAAGAAACTGAAATTTGTATGAAGAATTAATCGCCATATCTGTTGGTAACTTCCTTGACTAAAGTTTGTAATTCGGCTCTTGGCGATAAAACGTCCTGGTTACGAATGTTCCTATTTGATGAAAGGAATAATTACCCGCCTGTTTTCTGCAGAAAGGTAGACGCGTGTTTGAAGCCATTAAATTAAATGTAATCTCATAACAAGTTTTCGTCTTATAACAGTATTTTTGTTTTTAAAATAAGTACCGTGAATGTTTTTAATTATTCCTTCAATTTCTTTGTGATGTGGAAAGGAGATTCACGTTTAGGAAAGCTTCATCACAGCTTAAATGAGCTGAAGCCTGAAGTTGGCGCATATGTCTTCCTGTAAAACGCTTTTCGTGCCTGGGATGTAATGGAAAAGAACTTGTAGAAACTCGTAGTTTGAGATTCATTCCTTTGCTCGCATATTGCTGGAGAAATGATCTTCGTTCCTTCGGTTTTTGGAAGTTGAATAAAATTCCTGTTTCATTATTTATGAAAAAATCTTTGTATAAAAAATCATTTTCACGAGCAAGAAGTTTTTCTTCCTAGGAACTTATGGTTGATTGCCCTTGAAGATGTTCGTCAGTCCCTCCCTTACTCTTTGCCCGATTATTAAATTCCATGTTGGGGTTTTTCTTTTTCAAATTGGGTTAATCGTTTCCTCGATTTTCGATACTAACAGTAGTTGAATAACTACTCCACCCATATGTGAGCTAATTAAGATATTCACATTTCATAATTCCACCAGACATTGTGGCACTTCGCAGTATTCATACGTAACACCTGTTCCTCTAATGTATAGGTCTGTTTGATGGCTTAACAGATTAGATGGTTGGACACTAATTTAATTCGGGTCTGATGCCTGTTTCTTTTTTTAAAAAATCTTTATAGCCTTAGTGTGTTTTCTTCTGATAAAACGCTTCCTAGCCTCGATTTCACCTTTTTTAATGCTTTTGCTGGGAATAATAGGCTACTCTGCAATATTAAATCGATATCCTGATTTAAAACTAAAAGTTCGATTGCTTCCGATTAATCTGAATTTTGGATACAAGTTATTTATAATAAAAATGAAATATATGGATGGAATGCTTTCACTGAGAACTTTAAAAAAATATTAGCAGTATCTCACGTTATAAACGAGGAGACAAAATTCGTACAGGTTCTCCGTTTAGGGAAAAGGATCGAACCTGAGAAATACCTGTTGAACTCTTTTTAAATCCGACCATTGGTAAGTTATTCCAAAAGCTATCAAATTAAGTAAACCGCAATCAATTATTGATACCTATTATATCAAAATTAACTAAGGCTCTTGGTGAACTATTTCATTTTCATATATCACTTCCATCGGTAGGTGAAATAGAGTTCGACCCGATTTCGAATCCCAGAGAATCGGGCAGGTTGCATAGGC